TCAGTGACCTCATTGTCACAGTGTCCACACCTCAGTCCCCCATAGTGTCCACACCTCAGTCCCCCATTGTCACAGTGTCCACACCTCAGTCCCCCATTGTAACAGTGTCCACATCTCAGTCCCCCCATTGTCAGTGTCCACACCTCAGGCCCCCATTGTAACAGTGTCCACACCTCAGAGCCCTCACTGTCACAGTGTCCACACCTCAGTCCCCCCCATTGTCAGTGTCTACACCTCAGTCCCCCATTGTAACAGTGTCCACACCTCAGAGACACCTCACAGTGTCCACACAACAGTGCCAACATCGTATGTGAGTATAGGCTCTGTGAATTTGGGTTTGAGGCTGAAAGTAGGTGTAGGGTGTGAGTGTGGTATGGGTGTGCAAGTGTGGATGTGGGTGTATGTGAGTCGAGTGTGGTGTAGATGTGGGTGTGATGTTTGAGTGTGAGTGTGATTATAGATGTGGGTGTTCATGTGTGAATGTGGGGGTGTGTGAGAGTGAATGTAGAGGTGGGTGCTGGAGTGTGAATGTCGGGGAGTGTGAGATGGGTGTGGGGTAGAAGTGGGTGTGGTGTAGATATGGGTGTTAACGTGTGCATGTGAGGTGAGTCTGTGAGCGTGGTGTGGTGCAGAGATGGATGGGGGGGTGTCTGTGAGTGGGGTGTGGTGTAGAGGTGGGCTCAGTGGACCTGGGTGTGCGTAGAGGCGATCTTCAGAAGAACAGGCAGGCCCTGACCTAACATGGCCACATGACACACATCTCAAACAATTGATTTCTTCCTGTTTCTATGACATAAGAAAAACAGAATGCTAAGAAGTGTTTATCTGAATGTGCAAGATAAGGAAGTCATGTGCAACTCTGCTGAGTGAGGGCCCGTGGGTGGAGTGAGGGTCTGTGGGTGGAGTGAGGGTCTGTGGGTGGAGTGACGGCCCGTGGCTGTGGTGAGGGCCCATGGTTAGAGGGAGTGAGGGCCCGTAGGGGGCACATTGCAATGCAGGAGATAGCCCATCACCTTGTGCATGCCCGGCCAGACCCATGCCTCTGCAGACCACTGCACTGAACATGTCCACCAGGTGCTACTGTGGGGAGTGGATGCTGGGATCACGCCATGGCTGGAGCAGACTCCTGAGTGGAGCAGTCACGCAAGCTGACCGGCAGGTCCCAAATTGTGGGCCTATCCACACAAGTGTCTCTGAGAGGCTCCACAGTGGCCCCAGACCTCTCCGGGCTGTAGCACCATGACCTGGACTCACACCCTGACAGTGCTGTGGTCACATGGACACTTAGAGGTGGCTCACAGAACTAGGGAGGTGGGAGGAAGGGAGTACAGCTGGGCAGACATGGGGGTCAGACCCAGAGGGCAGGCATGGGGAGCAGACACAGGGGCAGGCACGGCGGACAGACATGGGGGATAGACACGGGGGGGCAGGCATGGGGAGACTCAGCAGGGCAGGCATGGGGGCGTAGACACAGGAAGCAAACACAGGGGGCAGACACAGCAGGGCAGGCATGGGGGGGTAGACACAGGGGGCAGGCACAGGGGCACAGGGTATGTGTGAAGACGGGTCAACTATAAGAATGTGCAGGACACAGGTTTATGTGTGAAGACACAGAAGAACATGGGGGTGCACAGGGAGGAGCTCAGGGTGGCCCCCGTCCCTAGCAGACAGTTCCCACTGGGCAGGGCTTCCCAGTTGGAGCCTCATGATGGGGGGCGGGGTCTGGACAGTAGAGTAGGTGCGGGAGGCTGTGCTGGCCTCTAGGAGCAAGCAGGTAGGCAGGAGGCCCCCAAGACCCTCCATGTGGCTTCAGTGAAGATGGTGGGACCATGCAGGGGTGTCTGCACGGGCTGTGAGAAGAGGATACTGACCACAGAGCTGGAGTGCCCCTGGGGGCCACCTCCAGGTCACCTGGCAGGGAGGGCTACACGCTCCATGCCCTCTACACCCCCTGGACCCAGAGGAGAGTCCCAGAAGTGAAGGGGTTCCTACCTTCAGGAAAGACGGTCTTCACTCCGTTCGCCCTGGCCCCATCAGCCCCAGCCCCACAGTGCTGCCAGGAGCCTCCCAGCCTTGGGCTCCACAGTTAGCAGCACTTGTCCTCTGTCCTAATGGGTGTGAGTACTGACACTATAGGAAGGTGGGGACACAGCTGCACCAAGCAGGGAGACCAAGACAGAGGGCCCCCCACGGACGCCAGGCCCGCCATGGGCAGGGCTCTCCCCAATGGGCAGTGGGAGTTGAGAGCAGAACTTTACAGGAAGAGGACTGGGGGTCTCTTCCAAACATGAGGAAGACCCCTATGTCCAACCCCACTCGCGAAGGGTCCTCAGCTCCTGCCCCACAGTGGGCTGCAATGGGGCAGCAGATAGAGCTGGGACATTAGGTAAGGTCACAACAGCCCCTCCAGGAGCAGGTGGAGGGTCTGGAGGCTATGCAGGAAGGTGAGCAACAGTAAGGGCTGGCCGGGGCCAGTCTATGGGGAGGGCGTGTAATGAGGTGAGTGCGTGAGAGGGAGGAGGCTGTAAAAAGAAACAGCATGGCTCCTACAGGTTCCCTGGATCACGATCCACTCACTGCCATTCACCTGCACCCAGCTGTCATCACTAGCACTCACCTGTCAACCCTGTCACCCACCTGCATCCACCTAACCCTACCTGTCTCCCAGCTGCTGATAGCTCCCCATCTGACCCATCGCCATTTTCAGACCTCTCAGACTCTCTTGGCAGAAGTAAATGCCTGAGAGGCTGGCGGCCTTGGTGGGCAGCAGAGGGCACACCTCACTGTGTCCACACCCTCCCCTCCCCTCCTTATCCATTCCGGTCCTCTGCTCAGCACCAGTACCTTGTCCCCTGGGCACCTGACTGGGTGAGGGAGGGGTGCCTTGTTAGTACCACTCTCCCAAGGTCATCATTTCTGCTGGACCTGGGGCAGGAGGGCCATGCTGCCCTCTGCCTGCCCCCAAACCGTCCAGCACACAAGCCTCCAGCCAGGCACTGGGGAAGGTCACTGTCGTGGTGAACGTCACTGCTATAAGCAAACCCACACCCAAAACCCCCATGAGCTCATACCCCGACCCACACGTGCTACTCACCTGTGGTGGGGCTACATGCTGGGCCACTGCAGATGAGGCCACCAGTGGGGTCACAGGGGGCAGGGTCACTGGACATAGGATCACAGGTGGGGTCTCCAGTGGCGTGGTTATCAGCAAGGTTTCCTGGGTCCATCCTTCAAGGCAGCAGCGGCGGCGGCAGAGAACTGGGGGGCAGGGACCACTAGAACGAGGCTCCTGCCTCCCTGAAAACAAGCGACAAAATAGAACTGTCAATGATTTTCTACTGCTTGGATCCACAGTCAACAATCTTGGTACTCACAGTGAGGGAAAAAAAAGGCATGTTGCATTGGTAAAGTCTGCAGTCGGAGACCTCTCCAAAGTGCAGAAGAGCCAAGATGTCAGTTTAAAGACTAAGGTGTGCCTGATTCAAGCCATGGTCTTTTAAATTACCTGCTACGCATCTGAGAGAGAGTCAATAAAGATAACAGAAGAACGGATGCCTTTGGGTTGGGGTGCTGCGGAAGAGCAGTAAATATCCTTCAGATTGCCAAGGGAGCAAACAGGTGTCGGCGAGGATGCAGCCCACGTGCTCTCTCGCAGGAAGCATGGTGAAGCTTCCTTTAAGGTTGACATGAAAGCTATTCCATTTTGCCCACCTTTCTGATACCACCTGAAAACATCTGTGTGTTCCAGGAAATAGTAAATAATGTGATGAATGTTAACCTGTAGCGGAAACCGGTCCCAGGTCCTTCACGCTGCTGTGACCTTCCACGCTCCCCACCGGCCAGTGCAGAACGGGTGAACACCCTTCTATTGTTTCTGTTCAGTGCTGACGTCTCACTAAAGAGCTCATTCTAAATAAAGCTGTGCACTCAGCGACTGCTGCTGCTTCTGGTGAGTTCAGACCTTTCGCATCTCACACACACTGCGTCTCACGCACGCTGGGTGTGCTGTTAGGAGGGGCCAGTCCTTGGGAAAGGACCACATGCTGGTCAGAGAAGGAGGGGAAGGTCCTCAACGAGATGGACTGACAGTGCCTGGACAATGGGCTCTCGCGTGGCACAGGTGAGGAGGTGGCACCGGCCGCTATGAATCAGTCAGAACTGAATGACAACAAAATAGGTATTTCAGTAAGTTTCCCTGAACATCCTCACAAGGTGTCAGAATTTAGAAAGAAATCTGCTCTCTTATAGGAAAGAGCCATTAATATCAAGGTCATTTTCATTAAACCTCGAATCCAGAAAATTGCCTTGTTTCCCAAGACTGGGAAACCCACAAATAAAAAAGGGGGGGTTGCACCACACCAGAAAGCAACAGAAAGTGAATGTTTCTTTAACAATATTTTAAAGGAGAGAAGAGTCTTGTTTGTCCGGAAGACTTCCTTAGCACACCAGGTCCTTTAACTGTGCCCATCTGCTTTTCTCACACTGCACGCCAACCCCTTCTGTTAGCACAGCAACAAGACCTCAGAGACTTTCTCAAATTGACCTTTTCAATGAAGAAGGAGGAAAACTTGAACTGAATTCCTACTAGGTTTCCTCTGAATCACCGACTTTCTTATTTTTCCATTTCCTTTCCCTCTTCAAACAGTGTGCTAAATGAAAGTATTTTCCCCGGAGATTGTGGAGGTCAAGAATGGCAACATTCAGCTATTGTAGGCCTCATAAGACCCAGGAACATACCTTGTTAGGGTCAAAATAAGCTAACAGTAGAAAGAATGGTAGGTGGCTACCAAAATCCAGGTGAAGGGTGGGGAGCAAACAAATGAAGCTCAGGTCAGGAGACATCAGAGGCCAGGGTCAAAGGACATGGCAAGAACCAGGGAGCAGACGGCAGGGACATAAAGGCCTCACTCCTACAGGCTGTCCCCCTACCCACCTTGGCGCAACCTGATTCATGTTTTAGGTGCAAAGTGAAATCGAGAACAGTGGACCAGAACGGCCTACCGCCTTCTGAACTCTGCGACATCACCCCACTGGGCCAGACTCAAGCCCAGACACGCCTTGTATATTAACCTACGGCGTCTCTCTCTATCTTACATTCAGAAAAGCGGTAAGTCCTGCTCTCTGGGACCTGTGTTTTTCAAACACAAAGTCTTTACTCTCCGTTCACTGCCATCTCATTGCTTTCCTCTCAGTTGCGTCTTGTGCCTAGTTAGGATTTGTGCAGGAGAACGGCCTAAAAGAGGCTGGGCCCGGCTGAGATTAGGGGATTTGGACACAGCCAACCCTGCTGTTGTCCCTGACCTGGTTCAGAGACGTTACACGTGTAGCCTAGGCAGGTGGATTGACACATGACTGTAAGAAACGGCTCGGGCATGTAGGCATCACAGTGACTTGTGCACAACCTTCTAGAGATGTCTTCTAGAAAGGGTTTTGTCACGACCAAGCACCTCACCTACCGGCTGCTAACTCGAACGTCACACACGCGTTTCTGACATTTCCTCAAGCGTGCATATGCTCAGCCACCTTGGTCTGGGAATACTACCCCCAAGGCTCAGAAAGGACTTCCAACAGGAGCCAATATGGAGACTCTTCCCAAAGAGACCGTTCCCAGATGATCCCCTCCGCCATGAATTCTGTGGGCAGGTGCCATGTGCTCAAGCCTTTGAACAACAGATATGAATCTTACTGTATTCGTCCATCTCTTTGTGTCAGCCCATCTCACTGAGGGTCTTCCTGTCTCCCTGCCCGTCTACCAACCTTGTATGATGTCTTTTTACAAGGACTGACCTTGCCTCACAATATGCCAAAGTATGTGAGACAAAGTTTCACCATCTCTGCCTCCAAGGAGGCTGTAAGGACCACCCTGATTGCATTTCTTCAAAGACAGACTTGGGGACACAACAGCAGCCCCTCCATGCTGGCGGTGACTGTGACCCCTCCACAGGTGTCCAGCAGGAGTGCAGCGGGGCGGGCTGCTGTCCCCAGGTGAGTAGGAGCTGAGCCTGTGCCTGTGGCATCTCTCTCCCGCGGTCAACCAGCACGAGACGACACCTCACTCCTGGAGCCCCTCCGACAAGCACAACTAGCTGGGACTCTCCCAGGGACACGTCTGCATTCACTCTAGAGGCCATGGCAAAAATCGCAAAGACATGGCTTCAGTGAGTGCCACCCACCCCACACCTGCTGCCTGTAGCATTTGTTACTTTCAGGTAAAGACTGTCAGTAAAGGAAGAGATGGGTCTATGGGAATAGGCCTCTGAGCTCAAGGCATCAACAACAGACTTCCTGGTTGGGATCAGCAGTCCTCTGGTTACCACGGCAACACCAGACATCCCTTCTGCTTCTCAGGAACTGGCCAACAGTATGGGCCCACATTTACCATAGGTGATGCGACAGCCTGCTGTGTCAACCACATCAATGACACCAGCTTTTACAGCAACAATGGCCACAGCCTAGGTACAGCCTTCACAGACCTCCTGGCCAACCTGAACTCCATTGTAGGCCCGCAGGCACTCGTAGTGGTCATGGGTGCCAATTATGGACAGCAACCCTGCCTGTCTGCCATTAAGGACTACATGTGGGAGTGGCGTGCTGAGGTCCAGGGTACTGTCCACTGCTTTCCCATCAGTGCCCGGCTTGAGGAGGAGGAACAGTCAGTGCTGCAGAACACGGGCTCATCTTACCTGGGCATCATGGGTATTGTGCCACCATCACAGCTTGTGCCTGAATGACTGAAACCCCAATAGGAAGGACAGACGTCCAGAAAGAACAGACAAAAGATGCAGAAGCTGGTGCTGGAGGGCTGTGGGCTCCCACACTGAGGCCCCACAGCACTGATACCCAGGGCTGCTGGGGCATAGCCCTGACCTGCTCTTCACATTTAACGACAGTGGATGGTGCTGGGGACAGAGTATTCCCCAACAGTGTGCTGGAGAGCATGTCCGCATGGACGGTCAATAGCATTTACAAGCACGAGGACCTGCAGACAGACGAGGCCAGCACACCTGATGGGCACCCTCGGTGGCAGCTCTGTGGAGGCACCAGGCTGCCACACGGAGGATTCTTCTCTTTGGCTGTGAGTTGCTGGGCCGGAAGTATGGCAAGAATTTGGCCCACACGGAGGTGTTGCAGGATGCCTTCAGCCTGCTGACGTACTTGGACCCCTGCAGCCGCCCCACTGGCCAGCAGCTCAATCCATCCAAAAGGAGCCAGTGTGCGCTGCCCTGAACAGTGTCATTTGAGTCTCAAAACCTGCCAAAGAAGCCCTCTCTGACGCTTGCTGGGCCAGGCCTCCGACTGTCCGTGACTCTCGGCTGGAGCGGGCCTGCGACCCTGCTCCTTTGCCAGAGCTAATGACTATTGGCGCAGCTGACCATGCGGGCTGCTCCGCCAGGCTTTCCCTCAGCCCCCTGGCGGGAGCAGCTCTGACCCCACAGGCACCTGGTATGGAAACCTGGCAGCCATAGGCAGAGTCCACCTGTGCCTCACCTGCCTGGCCTTCCTCCTCTCCTCTCCTCTCCCTCCTCCTCCTCTTCTCTCTACTCCCCCCTCCCTCCTCTTCCTCCCCTCCCTCCTCTTCCTCCTCCCTCCTCTTTCAGTCTCGCTCTCTTCCATGTGCAGCGGCCTATGACACAGTGTTGAGTGGTCATGTTCATGTGACGTCTTCTCCTCTGACTGGGGCAGGGGTGGTTTTGAAGGGAGGTTGGGGTTTCTTAATCTTTTCCCCCCCTTCTGACTGAGCCACCAGTATTTATCTCTGGAGAGTTTGTGCTGAGCTGGTTTCTGCTAATTTAGTGATGAAGTCTATCCAAGTTCGTGATAGCTTATTATTTTCATAATTTAAAAAATGAGATAATACATATTAAGAAAAACAACCCACAGTATTTACCACAGTGTTAGTAGCCCAGCACCTTGTGGGTGAGAGCTGTCCAGACACTATCTGTTTTTATTCAAGTCCCATTCATTAAAAAAGAATCCTCTCTGCATGTGCTTGTTGGCCACCTGAATGTCTTCTTTGGTGAAATGTCTGTTCATATCCTGTGTCTACTTTTCATTTGGGTTATTTATCTTGTTGTGGTGCTTGAGTGTTTTGTAAATTCTAGATATAAGTCCCTGATCTGACATGTCATTACCAAATACTTTTTCCCAGTCTATGGCTTTCATTTTTACCCTGTTGGAGAAGTTTTTGGATGTACACAGGGATTTGATTCTGCATTGAAACAGCGGA